GATATGGCCGACCAAATACGACTTGGAAGAAGCCCGTTTTGGCGAAATATGACGCCAAAACATCGCAGATATGATGTTCGCATAAAGTAGAAGAAAAAAAAAAAACAAAAAAACGTCGTATTACGGTAGTGGAAATAGGCGTGTTTAATTTTAGCTGTTCCACAACTTCTATCGTCGCATTGAGGCGTTCGGTGTCACAGCTCAGCATGCTGGAGGAATTTTTACCCATTTCAGCTACACTCCGTTTCAGGTAAAGTTCGATCTGAAGGAACCAATCAAACGGTGCAAAAACTGCATGGTCATGGCACTCGTGCGCTCTTGGTTTTACGGGTTCGCTAACGCCGTCTAACAACCAATCACACACAGGGAAGGCGGCGTGATCCTGCGATTTGTTTTTCTCTGTGTGATTGGTTTAGCTGGTGGCAGAAAGTAAACACACAAAGACGACGAGCGCCGTGACGATGCACTTTTGTGCCGCTTGATTTTCTCTGTGAGATAGCATAGGTTGACTGCGGTAGGCCTTTATACAGAGTTTTAGGGAACCGGAATAAAACACGGTCGGTAGACCAAACGATCGGTACCTCGGATGGGGAGCTCAGACTGATCGGCTTCCGTGAAACAGTTTTTAGAGCATACCGCGCTTACAGACGATTCCAGACGATTCAGGCGATCGGTGCAGGTCGCACCCCCTGGCAACGGAAATGCGCACTGGCTTCGTGAAGTGGGTAAAGAGGCGGCACGCTTTTTTTGTGTGTGTGCATGGAAAAGTGTTTGGCAATATTGTCACGAATGTAAAATGGCTAAACAAATTAAGAGTGAAAATAAAGGTTACATCGGCGAACTTGTGCCAAATAAAAGCAAAACAACGAGCGTCGCCGACTGCAGAAAAGCGGGCGGCGATTGGGCGGCGTAACAGCAAGCGAGGTCGAGACTGACTCGACAGGGTCCCGCGCAGCTCCTTCTGTATGGTGTGCGTCACCACCTCAAAAATTCGGACCAGAAGGTTCGAGCGTCGCGCGTTCGGGGTGAGAATGAACAGGCGCTTTCAAGAGCAAGAACGCAGGACGAAATGATAAAAGTTACTTCTCAAGTAAGAGTAAACGCGAATCTCCTAGAAGTCCGTGACTGAGCGTTGCTTGCTCGGCCCGGCGCGCGGCATTAGAGAGTTTTAGTAATAGGTATAGGGGCAAACGCAAACCCCCTACGTTAGCGTTAACGTTGCGTCGACGGAACGTTACGGAGCGCGTCGAATACGCACTTTTAGTACAGCGGAAGGAGAACGCATACGTAAAGACTTGTAGTGCCATCTAGATGTCCTCCTGTAAACTGCTTCAAACAATCCAAGGCGGGTATTCGGTCAAGCCAATCCAAAGCCCCGATTCTCCTCGCTTTGTTACGGAAGTGCGTGTTTCCGTGTGCCTGTTGTGTACGTGTTTTGTCTTTTTTTTTTGTATTGATCGCACGGTAAACACCTTTTTGGGTTCGACGGCATCGCCAACGTTCTTGGCTATCGACACCCATCTTTGTGGGTGCTCGAAAGGATTCGTCGCGTTGACTTCTTTGAGGAGGTTGATGTCATCTTCAATGGTAAAGCGAACCCGTACAATGCGCGTAGCACTTCCGCTGGTTTGCCTCACCGCCGCCATTTTTGAAACTGGACTAGTTTCGCGCTCTACCGTGCGCGACGAGAGCAACGAGATGGCACGCAGGGGACCGTTACGTACGTTCGCAAAAATCGATAGCGAGCGTACGTATGCAAGGCTCGCCGCAGTACGTACGTATGGCGCAGGCGCAGTGTGGAGGACGCAACGTTAACGTTAACGTATAGGGTCTGCGTTTGCTCCTATACGTACTACTAAAACTCTATTATCATAGAACGGAAGAGAAAAAAGTGTAGAGCCATTCCACTCTGTAAAGGTGGTTGGCCAGCAAAGCTGTAACGACACCTACAACGATTTACTCAATGCGACGTGGCACACACTCTTTATTTACTTTGTAACGACATTCACAACTGCTTTATGATCAGAGTGATACACGCTAAGAGTTTCCGTTCTCACTGTAGAGAGATTCTTAGCTAAAGTTAGATCAATGCATGATTCATGAATGGTATAGTTTATTGAGTTACATCGGTGAAGCCCATGACTCTTGCATGACGAATTGGATGAACCTCTTCTTTCGCGGTTTCAAAATGTCCACATTAAAGTCTCCGACAGTGATTACCGGTGTGGCTTCATCCATTGACAGTGAGGAGAAAAGCGGTCGCATGAAGCACTCGATGTCAGATTTGTGTGTATTCGGTGAGATGTAGACCGTGAAAATTACGATTCCATCGCTAGTATTCACGGAACACACATCCCCGCAGTCGACTTGGTTGTATTAGAGTTCATACGGCTGGACATAAGCCTCATCCCTTACGTAGACTGCTACGCCTGCCGGACGGTTGTCGTCTCGCTTTATTTTATTTTTTATTTCACAATACTACGAGCCCTGTTAAGGGCCAAAGCAGGAGTGGATAATACAAAACAAGCTTTGCACACACTATTCCGGTGTATCCAGTCACTTGGGATAACGAGTCACACGATGGCTTCGAATGACGTCCACCCCTTTCCAGAGCAGCTGCAACCGTGATTTGTACAGGAAAACGCATGATGCATGCTTCGCATTGTTCACAGGCTCCTCATCATCCATCATGCGGTTTTGATGCTTGTTTTATGACTTTTTTTTTTCTTTATTGAAACACTGCGCTCTGTGCTCTACGGCCTGAAAACTCTTTCTTTCTTTTTTTTTCTTAAAAAAGACAGGAAAGAAAACATTGCGGGGTAGAGGTACACAGCTTGGATTTAAAACATTTGCATTTTCAGAAATAGTGTGAAACCAAATTTGTGGAACTAACGATATTTTGTCTCGTTTTGCTAGAATGCGAGCGCTAAATGTGGCGGTGGCGTACCCACCGTGACTGAACAGTTCGTCTGCTAAAGGAGCAGACGTTCTTAGCGGCAATCATGGCCCTAGAACTTTTTTAACTACGAGTTCGAATTGGCCTGATTCGGGGAGGAAAAACTAAAAAAAAAAGCTTTTTTATCTGACTTGGCTAATCCAAAAAGGAGGAGATTGTTGACGGCGAGACTAAGAAAGCGTTGGTGTCTTGTTCACGCTTTTTTTGTTATCTGTTTTATTTCTCGTGAATTCGACTTGATTCTCTCACCGCCACCATGACAGTTTTTACAGGCACAACCACGAATGCTTTGATTCGCGTTTGAAGCTTCGGCAAGCCACTTCCCACAGCGAAACAACCGTTCTATAAGCGAGTCGAGATGATTGTGATGTCAGCCGGTTTGACCACACGATAATTCACAGCTTACGGTTCGGACAATGGACTACAGTGAGGCAGCAGTGACCCCGCGCCTGCGCACTGCAGTCCGTACCAGGAAGCCGATTATATCGCTCCGTTTGTGCAAGAACGGTGTCTAAAACTCTTTAATGTGGAACGTAGTAAATGCCGACCAGCTCGTATTGCTGCCGACTGTACGTAATGACGCGTGGAAAAAGAAATTATAATTCATGCGTTAGTGGATCCGTACAACACGACTGCGTCTGTGCAAATGCATGTTTTTACTGTTGATCGTCACCATCCGAGCGTGATTGAAGTCTTCAAAACACATGTTTATCGTCTGGACTAGGGGAATTGGAGCGCAACGTGTCAGCGGGTGTCGTGTCCGGGTCTGCGTATCCAGTGGGTTGTATTTCGCATGGATGATAACTGTTGCCGGTAAAAGGACTGCCCAGCAACACCTATTGCCGCCGCCTAAACATATTCGCATGTTTTTCTTTTTCTTTTTTCTTTTCTTTTGCTTTTCCAATGTTTTTACCTGTGACATCCACTGATTATAGTGAACCGAAGAATGTTTTTGCCTCCAACAAAAATATTCTCAAACTTTTTTTTTTATTTATTATTATTATTTGTTTATGAGCAGAGGACCGTGAACAGTTTCGTACGATTCATTTTGCACGATGAAATTTACGCTGTACTGAGCAAGAAAAAAAAAACAGAAAAAAAGGGGGTGAATAAAAAGTGGTAAGGTTTGTCTGACCAGACAGCCCTAAAGCCAGAATAACACTGCTCGTATATATATATTAAAAAAAAAAAAAAAAAAAAAAAAAGAGACTGTTTGCAAACACGAGTCACCGCAATATCCGTGGTTCGAATGCCGCGTGCCAAGCTTTCTCCCCGAACTCATTGGCATGCGGCATTCGAAGCACAAATCTCGCGAATGTATAGCCGCTGTAACCCCGGCTTGAAGCCGCGGCCAGACTTGCTCATACATCTTACAAAAGACGCGGACTTTCTCCGCAGACACGATAACAGAAATATCCGCGGACAGTCCTCAAGTTTCTAAGCATCTTAGCTTCATACAAGCTTCCAACATCTCTGCAGATAGAGTTTTGCATGGTCAGTGGTATAGGACCGTTATACACACACAAAAAAAAAAACACGTTAAAGACAGTAGGGAGTTTTAGGAAACCGTTTTTGCACATCCGATATGGAGCGATGGGTCCTACGGTACGCACTGCGCATGCGCAACCATAGAAGACTTCCACATGCTCAGTTCGTATACCGAAAGGCGCATCGTACCGTATGGGATGTGCCAAAAATGGTTCCCTAAAACTGTCCATGGTCTGCAGACTCTCTTTTGTAGATCTATTAGCAGTAGGATCGCGACTTGGCTGACTATACTCCGCGCTGGAAAACGAGGGAAAGGTGAAAAGATGTGCACGCTGTGAAATCAGGAAAGGGGGAGGGGGGGGGGGGGTGAATGCGAACGGGGTCGAGACGTCTGTCTTCGAAACACTGCCATTACTGTCGCACGACGTAGGGCTAGGCAGGTGTCTCGCCGACAAAAATGAAATTGTAACGACAGCGGCCATTTCTAAACTGAGGAAGGGCTTCTCCGCTAACGATGTTCCGTCGCTCGCTCTTTTTTGTTTCCGCGCCTCCGCAGCCACGTCGGGGTCCCGATGTCGTGACCTGGAAGCCCCGAAGCCGCGCCTCGCGGAAGAGCCGGAGCCATGGTGCGGCGCAAGAACGTGCTGCTCCTGCTCTTCGGAGCGGCAGTGTTCTTGGCCGTCATTCAACTGGCGCCGGACCGGAAGCTGTCGACTGTCAGAGCCCCCGTGCCGGCATCGCCGTCCCAGGACAGCGTCCGAAAGGTGCCGCAGGCGGTCACCACTACAGGTGAGCGCACGAAGCACTTAAAACAAAACCTACAAGTGACGCGTTCGCTTTCCCGCAGTGCGTGCGATGAGACAGTCAACGAACGCTGCGAATCTCCGAGGTCAACGAAACATTCTGATCAACCGCAGCTCCGGGTTGCGTACCGGATTGTTGGTGCAACCCACAGCGCTACAAGTCGTGCTCGACATTGCACACGCAAGTCCGGCGAGTTTCTCCGACTCCACGACACGCGCGTGAGCGAGCAGCACCGCTTCGCTCTCTTCCGCGCTGTCGCGGAAGCAATGCTGGAGACTGGAGTTAAATGAACTGCCTGGACGCTAATAAAAATAGGAGAACACGGGATAACGTAATAAGCACCTCTTGCCGTCGGTAGAATCGCAAAATGCCACGGGAAACCTAGCGTCCGCGGCGTCCGTACGAGAGCGTAGGACTAAACCTACCTCATTGCCCAGTGTTGCTTCACTAGCTCACACGGTGTCAGCGTTGCTCACCCGCTTTCGGGCCGCTAACCGAGCCGGGAGAACATTTTTAATATTGGTTTCAATCGGTAATGTGGCGTCGGTTTGACGTGATATTTTGGGTATCACAGTATTTTGACCCCCTAAAGCGATATGAGTCATTTCGATAGGGTCGACTTTTTGAGTGGAGTTGCCCTTTAACTTAAACCCCCATAATCATCTTAAACTTCGATGTTTATGTCCGACGACAAACAATGACACCAAAAACACCGAATGTGTTAGATAGACTCTCCAAATATCACCCTAAATTCGAAAAAAATAGTTCCAAAGACACGAGACCTTCATGATAACTATACTCCGTTTCACTCTAATCCCCGAATTCATTGATGTGACTTGATCTAAAGCCGAACTTCGACTTGCTCGAGTTCTTCTCAACATCATATTGGACTTGAAAACGCTCAAGCGGGATTTGCGTTGAGAATGAACATCACCTCATTTTAGTGAAACAACAACCACAAATATATATTCGTATATACACCTATGACACTGAGAAAGTGACAGCACGCGCAATGCGAGTCCCACACTAAAAAGCATGCCAGCTTTCTGCTTTCCCGCCGATAACTCGGAAAATTATTCACTGGGCTCTATACGGAGGCAGCTTGATGAATGACGAGTCCTAAACATGACGCTAGCAGTTACCTTTTTTGTACTCAGGGTACCTACGGTGCTGGGAATGCGTCTCCGACTGGTTTGTTTATTTTAGCGTGCTATCATGCCCCGTACATCGAAAGTGATCTCGAAGTGGCAACAAATGACGTCGCAAGAACCGGGGTGTCATGCTGTCGGATTTCGCGACCCTGGCGGTTGGTTGTAGAAACGCTGGCGAAAAGCACGAGCAAACGCGAGGGTCGCTGTCGTCACGGCGTCCCAAGTCCTGGCTGCCGAAGCTACCTTGGACTGTCAACCTGAGGAGCGATTTGCAGCAGGACAGGTGTCTGTCGCATCCACCACCGCTGTGACTTTTCCAGACGCGTAAACACACCAGTTGAAAACGCGTTCCAGGCCACCAGAGTCAGTGTCACATTACAGACTCTCTTTTTAGGCCGATGTTTATTTTCGGCACCGGCATTCGCCGGTGCAGCACTGATTTACGTTCCGAGTGTTTTGGCCACGGCCGCTCGATTCTGCTTCCAGCTCCGCTGGGAGCGGTAGAGCGCCTGTATTGCAGATAGGGTCCAATAGCTCGATCGGGGTCCGTGAGTTGTGGACCGCGTTTGTAATGGAAGCTGGGAGAAGGTGCCGAAAGCGCTGCAAATGTCGCCGCCCTTCGGCCTGCTTTCCTCCTTGCTGCGTGAAACCGTCACGCACGCGCACTTGCGACCAGTATCCGCGAAGAGGCATCCGCCATTAAATTGCAAACGGTCTCCATGGTTTGGTATGGACACTCTCCACAATCTAGGCTCTCTAGGAGTGGCGTACCGAATGGCTTTTTCTGCCGAGGAAAACGAAAGTTCTCAGAGAGCCTTGCGGCGCTAACAATCGGCAGTGGAACGCCTATCTTAGTTTCTCGTCGTGACAATTTTGAAGGCATTCACTGAACTAGCTTTTATGACAACGATGACATGCTTCCATTCAATATACATTTCCTCAAAACCTTCGGAAAACCACAGCATCAACTGGAAAACAGTCAGCACATGAAACGATTCAGTTTGTTGTTCGACCTCGTACTTCCAAACGAGATCCATTAGTCCATGCGTCCCTGTATAACAATACAGGTTTCTTCTCGATGCCGAAACAATGAAACCCGAGTGTTGGTCGAGAAGCCAAGCCTTTGCGGAACCGTCGCTCGTCTGCTACGATGCAATTACGCAAACAATGAGAATCAGCTTCGCTACTTAATCAATTCTCTCAGTCCGAGCGAACCTGTTTTGTGGGCGTTAATCGCTTTCGCCGTTCCGGCCGAGAACGGCGTGTGTATTCATCGTTCGGGCGAATTATACCGTGGCGGGAGTTTGAGGCACGGTAATGCATTTCCGCTCGTAAATTAAGGCCGCTCTCTGTGGGCGTTTGTTTTCCAGCTGTGCTTTGTTCCTCGTTAGCGGTGCGGGAGACCGCAAAGCGCGTGTGCGTGGTAACTGGCGGTACACTGCGTGGGGGGCACCGCCCAGAATGCGCGTTCCAGTTGTAATATATTCTTTTCAAAAGGCCATCGAGGAACATTGGCGGTCGCTATTGCTAGGTGGCGCAAGTTACCACCCGTTACAAAAGCCATTCGGTACGCCGCTCCTAGAGAGCCTAGATTGTAGACAGTGTCCATTAACATCCATCCATCCATCCACAAGAACACGAAGCGTGGTATTGGATCCGAGTCCTCGCCGAACGCTAACGTATATCTCGTGTCCAATAGGAGCTGAGCCGAGTGGACGCCGAACTCTGACGCAACCCTCGAGTCCAATGCATGCTCAGTACCTGCCCGAACAACGATGCGCTCGGATAATTGGCGCAACAAACACTTGATGGCGCGCTCTTTCGGAAAAAAGCAAAGTTTATTGCGCTTTTGCGACTGAGCGATCCTTGGTAGTTTTGTTCTAATATGTTGTAGCATAAGCGAGATATACCGCGTTTCGCCGAGCCTAACCTGCCCTTATTCTTCGTGTGCCTTTTTGCTTTAAAGTTGAACTTCTGGGATTCAAATCAGCGCAATTTACACAAGCTGAATCTTATCAATGACATCTTAAGAACCTCAGGGAGTAGCATGGGTCCCGGGCATCCTAAAATCTCGCTCCGCATCCAATGATGCTGTGACAGTTGCGTATAAGAACGCTGATAAACGAACCACGGAGGAAGGAGCGTGAACGCATTCGAGTCGCTCCCTAAGTTTCTTAAGTTGTCAGTGGACACTCTAAAGAATGACATTGTGTTCACTTTCGTACATAACCCAGAGACAGCCAATGACGGCGAACCAGTAGGTGGACCACAATAAATGACAAAGCTCAGAATACGTTTATACCGAGTAAAAATATAATGTCTATAGGGACCATGTCGAGGGCATTTAAGTACACCATGACCCAGAATGACGTCTTGCGTAGTGACACACACACACACACACACACACACACACGCATGCACGCACGCACGCACGCACGCACGCACGCACGCACGCACGCACGCACGCACGCACGCACGCACGCACAGAGTTTTCGACTGCCTTGCATACCGACACGCTATCATCGTCTGCTCGGCGCTCGGTCAGCTACAGGCTACGTCTGCTTCGCGCTTGTGGTCTGCTTCGTCTGCTTGTTGTCACGGCTGACTTTCGATACAATCGGCGTACCAAAGGAAGTTTCGGTGCGCACGCGCATTCTCATCCGGACGGAGGGCAACGAACGCCTGCTGGAAGCAGGGCTTTTGTATACGGCGTTCTCAACCCGGTGCCAGTCTCAGCGTTCGTGCGTTCGGCGCCTAACACACTCGATTTCCCAAACCGCGTTATGACGACTCGCCCTAGACGACGCTCTCGGCACGGTGTCGAGAGCATCCACCACACGCCGACTCCCAACTGGCCAAGCAAGTGTTGGGCTTCAAATCTCACCTGTTCGACACTGTTTCAGTGGACTCTGCCATACAAATGTGAGACGAACACGTGGCAACTCGGTTGTTCGTCCTATCCACGTTTGCAAGTCCGGTCTCAGGGCGCTGCCATCTTCCTCAGTGGAGTGCGCTTTGGACGCGGCCATAATCCGATCACGACGCCTTAGCAAGGCTTCGTAATCGGATTATGACTGGTCCAAGCGCACCCCAGCCAAGCAAGATGGCAGCGCCCTGAAGCCGGGCTCATTAACTGAGTTTCCTATTGGCCGAGAGATCGCTCCATATATGAAGAATACGGACGTCACCTCTTGCCATTTTTAGGGTATCCCAAGTCACCAGGCTCGATCTAAAATGGATCGTAAAATTCGGCGCCTGCATGAAGCAGTCTAAACTTTTGGTGAAAGATGTTCCACAGGTCGGTTTTTTCTGGTAAGATTGCAAAGCGTAGTTCCATTCCTGTAAAATATATGGTCAAAAACTTGCCCTGGTAGACGGCGGACGGCGACGCAGCCGACCAAATCGGGTTGCAGGGCGCGTTTGGCGCGCGTATTGATAGGTGGCGTCGGGAGCAGCGTCCGAATAAGGCCTCTACGTCCGAAGGCGCAACCGACCAGCGAAAAAGGCAGACGAAACGCAGACGAAATCCGTTGGCTGCAAAAACGGCCTCGTTATGCAAACGTGTTTTTTTTTTCTTTTACTTTAAGCTTTGCTTTCATTATCCGCATTAATTTTTAAATCAAAGGTACTTCACAAAAAAAGATTAAGTTCATTTTAATAAACCCTGGTGGTTGCGAGCTGTCTCGATTAGTCTCGATAAGGAGGTAGCGCCATCTATCAATACGAGCGTCAAACGCGCCCCGCCAGTCCACATTGTCGTCTGCTTCGCCGCCCTCCGCTAACCCTGGCAAGCTTCGAACTTGGCCCATTTTTACAGAAAAGGAGCTACGATTCCTAATTTTACAAGAAAAAAACGACTTGTGAAATACACCTTTGACGAAAAGTTTAGATTGCTACGTACAGGCGTCAATTTTTAAGGGGGGATCTGTGGCTGATTGGGCTAGCGCACACCAGCTCGGAGCACGTAGAGCGAAAGATCTCGCTGCAGAACCCAGAGATCCTGGGTTCAGTCCCCACTCCTGCCCGTTTCGATCTGGATGAGCCTCGTACCGGCGTGCGGTCGTGTATTACCACTACGTGGTGCACGTTAAAGACCCCACGTTAGCGGTTGTACCGCACTGACTAAATTGCTCACCTACAGCTGAGATACCAGACGCCCTCTGAGGCAGTCCAACTTTCGGCTGTATAAATATATACACAACCATTCGCTTTGCGTCAATTTTTACGGTCCATTTTAGATCGAGCCTGGTGACTTGGGACACCCTATATAACCTTCTTGGACAATGCGCATAACGTTTCACTGTCGTTGCATACATCACATTTTTTAAGGCGTTAGCATTAGTGCTTTTGTAAATGCGCTGACCGTGGACTGGTTTTGACTGACTAACTAAAGTTCGCAACGTCACGACGGGATGGCGCCACAGCCCTACTGACTGTAGAAACAGGCTAGGAAACGCCTTCTCCAAGCGTCGACAGATGGCGGGCGGGGGGGCACTTCGCAAAACGCCAAACCAGGGAGTACAAGGAGACATGGGATGGGCTTCATTTGAGGGCAGGGAAGCTGTGAGCAAGATAGATTTTGAGGATCGGTTGAGGCAAATGGATGGGGAGCAATGGGCACGGAAGGCTTTCAGCTATTTATACATGAGGAGTGTAGACACAAAGTGGAGACAGCGCACTAGGAAATTAAGAGGAAAGTTTTTAGGCCTTAGTGGAGTTACGAAAGAGCAGGCCTCAGTTAAGAAGTAAGTTAAGGCCACAGAAAGAGATCGGTGGCTAGAGGGAATGCGGACAAAGACGGCTCTAGAAAGCTATAGATTAGACAAAACAGTTATTGCCGAAGAAAGCATTTATGACAATTCTAAGGGAAGCTCATTGTTGTTTGAGTCGAGGACGGGTGTTTTGCGAACCAGAACATACAGAGCGAAGTACCAGGAAATGGATACAGTGTGTACTGCTTGTGGAGAGGAGGACGAGACGGCTGAGCACTTGATACTCTACCGAAGACAACATAGATTTAATAAAGTCATTGGGTTTTAGAGACAGCGAAGGAAGAGTGGATTTCAAGACAGTAGAGATTACCAAGCAAAGATTAAGTGAAGGGTGGCAGAAAGCGAGAGAAAACTAGGTATGTTCTTATTAACTGATGGCAAGGGGGTTTTATAGCCTCGCTTTATTTTCAGTGCGGGGTGAATATAGCTTTCACATCTAAATATTCTAAGCTTAAATGATAAAAGAAAATGACTAGGTGGCGTAAGCTACCGCCCGATCCAAAGGGCTCAGCTGGATTCATCCATCCATCCATCCATGCTATCAGGGGTATGCAGTGCATGGAACGCGTCTCCGACTGGTGTGGTTAACAGGTCCAAAAAGTAGTCCCCCGATTTCCGCCTGATGTTGCATAAAAGTGTCATGCTGTCACCAATGGCGATCCTGGTGGTGTCACAGCAGTGTTGGCGGAAGTGGCAGACGCCTGTTCTGCCATTTTCCTGCAACTTTCTCTACAGTGTGACAACCCAGGGAAGTTTCGGCGCCGCTACGACAGCGACATTCGCGTCCGCTCGTGATTTTCGCCAGCATTCCTACGACCAACTGCTAGGATCGCGACATCCGACAGCATGAGACTCTGGCGTTTGTGACGTCATGTGCTGCCACTTTGGGACCTCTATTCATGCATGGGCGAGATAGGACGCTAAACACAACAGTCGGTGACGCGCTCCAGGCACCTTAGTGCGAGTGCGGAGTGCGCGCTTTGGACGCCCTAGAAGCTTCTGCTGCCAAAGCCGCACGCCGTACCTCCATAGAACAATACCTAGCGGCTAAACTCAACGTTCATATGATGCCCGATGCTTCCCAACGCATGTGTGTCAACCCAACTAATGTAGGACACCATATGATGCCGCTCATCGTGATATGGGACTTCAGCGTTAATGTTAGAGGCGGACACAACCAGTGTCTGCTAGAGTACATGCGAGGTCTCAGTGCGGACTGACGCTGTGCACGGACACTGACGAAGCCACGTCGCGCAACCGCACCACTATAAATTTGATCTTCCCCAGTCGGCATCTACATTACGTTCAAACGGCGGCATATGTGGCGTACTTCACGTTGCACAGGCCGCTCATGTACAGGATCTATCTGCCGCAGGAATACGCGCCGTTCACACACCTGCAACCGAGTAGAACGGAGAGAGACAAGACCGGTTTTTAAGCCTCTTGCGACGTCTTAGGACCAGCTCCGCAGCGGTGCAACCTGTCTTAAGACGTTGCAAGAGGTTTAAAAACCTGTCTTGTCTCTCTCGGTCATACTCGGTCGCAAGTGTGTGAACGGCATGCTTACGCATTTATTTGAGAATCAGCGTGGCGGCAGCAGGTCCTCCTGAGGTCCTTCTACTGTTCGTTGGGACTGAGTGCCTTTCTGCTCTGCGAGAAGTGACCTCATAGGCTTTCTTGGAAAACGCTGGGCGTTGCTCGTTGTGTCCGCGCGTCTTGTTTTGTGATTCCTTCTTTGCTGTTCTTATCAGTTAATTATGCGATCCTATTGGCTGAGGGGTGTTGTAAGATGCCGAGGACTCGCCGTGGCCTGCGTTTTTTGAGTTGTCAGTGAAGATAGCGAATGATGAGGCATGAATAGCATTGAAGCCCCAGAACAAAAAAAGATATAACACTAATACCCTGAGCATACGAATCCATGCTCACTAGCTCCTCAAAACTTATAGGTTGAAATTAATTTATTTGCTTAAAAAATGCTTTGTGCACCATTAGATCAACGCTCATGATATTATCTTTTTTTCAGGGTCTTCAAAAGTTGGCAACGAGTCCAAACCGAAGACATATGCCCGAGTTGCGAGTGTTCAAACAGACGCAGCGAAAAATTCCACAACGACATCGACCACCTCAAGAAAACCGAGCTACGCGACGGTGAATTTCCGAGCCGTCGGCGTTGTTACGTCCACGTCAATCTCGATCGTCAGAGCCCCAGTAATAGAGAAGAAGCCCCAGAAACCACAGACACCCGCGAAGCCCAAGGGCTCTCACCTGAAACCCCTTCTCCTCAACCGGATGCTGAAGATGTTCGAACTTGCCCTCAAACACTATGCGGTCGTTCCTGCCAACAAGGTGCAAAGGGTGATCATCGTAACGTACTTTAGGGCTGGTTCCACGTTCGTCGGTGACATCTTCTCCTCTAACCCGAGGACTTTCTACCACTTCGAACCCTTGCACATGTTCAGCAAGGATGCGAGACTCAACGGTGGCGCGGCGCAAAACGCGTCGAAACTAGTGGGCCATCTTCTGCGCTGCGAGTTCAACAGGGTCCAACACTACATCCGGTGGGTGTCCGAGGCCAAGTTCCTGTTCCGTCGCAACCACTTCCTGTGGGCCATGTGTGGTGGTCAGAACGCGGTGTGCTTCAAGGGCGAGTACGTCGCCAAGGTGTGTCTGCGTGCGCCTACGCAGGTGATGAAGGTGACCAGACTCCACATGTCTCAGGTCCATGACTGGATAAAGGCCAACAGGGACATTGCTGGATCGGTGAAAGTGGTGCATTTAGTGCGCGATCCGAGGGGCATTTTGGCCTCTAGGAGGCTTCTAGACTGGTGCAACGAGTCCAAGAGTTGCGCGCACCAGGACACGCTTTGTTCCGAGATCCGGGCTGATCTGGACAGCTTCGAGGACCTCAAGCGAGAGTTTCCAAACGGAACGTACCGTCTGCGTTACGAAGACGTGTCCATGGAACCCGAGAGAGAAGTGATAGCTCTGTTCAAGGAGTTAGGCATCAAGTATACGACATCGGTGGGAAACTTTCTGAAGACCCACACCAAGGCGCGAAAGGCGGACGTCATGGACCCATACTCGACGAGGAGGAACTCATCCACTGTGGCATTTGAATGGAGACAGAAACTCAAATACGCGGATATTGTGGAGATACAAAGGTCATGCGCGGATGTGCTTTTGAGGCTCGGTTATAAAGCCATAAGTAGTGCGAGTGAACTCAACGGGGAACCGCCCATACGTTCCATTCCGAACCTAGTTGCCACCGGTGTTCGTTCTACACTAAGAGTGTCTGAGGATAAAACAAGTTAACTCTTTTGTCATTTTTAACTACTATGATTCTACTTTTGTGCGTGGTGCCTGAACGTCTTTGCAAATCGTAAGAGTCGCGGTGTGTGTGAGGTATACTGACACGGTACTACAGCTTTAACTACGGACGATGCATTTGTTAAAAAAATGACATTTTTAGACTACCTGCTTTGCGCTTTTAATTAAAAAGAATATAGTGTTATTGCATCTCCGTTGTAACAAGGTAAGTACAATATTAATACGATATTTATTACTTACGTGAAAACTTTTGCACGTATCGGGAGTAACATTGTGCATTTGAACAAAGAGAAAGGTTTGCTATGTTTAATCCTCCATGGGTAATATCGAACGAAAAGTGAGGGGCGCGCAGATCCTGCCTATGTGTCTTTGTCTGTACATATGGAGTTTAGTTTTTCAGTAACACCCTAGGCGACAATGGCAAAAGGAAATGAATAGAAATTGTTTCGCATATAAGTTTGTTTGAACGAGTGCTGCACCCTTGGGGAAATTTTTTTTTTTTGTGTCCGGCTGAGAGTGATAAATTCTAAATACTAACTGAACCTAAACGACTGTGCTTCATGGTTGCGCCCCCAGCGTACGAGTGTAAGAAGGTAATGATGGTTGAAAATGTATCGGTGAAAAAAATACGTAAAGTCTACATTGTTGCCAGCTTATAGCTGACCCTATACTATCAGACGGACATTCAGCAAACGCTGCTGGCAGACATACTGCTATGCTTAGGTAAATAAAGTTTCTTAGCAAGTGGCATAGCTGAAGTAGCACTTATTCTGCCCGGTTAACCTTTTCGCCTTATCAACAAGCCATTTACATTCCTCCGGCAGATAGGAAGCGTTTTATCTTTTTTTTTTATCATATTCGCCAGCAGTGTCGGTTGTTTGTTCTTTCTGTGAAACTCTAGTTTGTGTCTAGCAGTCTAGTGCCAAGTTTACCGAACAACAAGCAAGCATGAAATAGGACTTGGGGCGCAGCTACTTCGCATTGTGCCAAAGACACCGTAAAAGCCGAATAAAGGCTAGGAATGTCCAGTGCTGACATCTCAACAACTTTAGACGAAAAGTTGACAGACGTTGGCTATTGGTCCACTTGACGAACCAAGTTGTATTTTACCTTCAGAAGCTGGTGTCTTGTATTTGGTCTTGTCTGTGATGTAAGCCACTTCTAATATTTTCCCCAAACCATGGGCCTTCTGCTTAACTACTTTTGTACGAACCTACGCACATTTTTCTTATTTTTTTAATATCCAAAGCTTTGTTTCCGGTAGACACTTGGGCCAGCAAGTTTCAATTTTTTCGACACTGATTCAAGTTGCCTAGCCCACCTTCGAGAAGAATAGTAGGCTGAGGAGCGCAAGTTCGTCTGATTCTTGTGCAGGGAAGGCACTGACGGCAGACCGCCGAGCTCTCATTGGTTCTAATCGATGGATAGAGGGTAGACCTCAATGCTAGCTGCCTTGAGGCCTACCCACTATCCTTCATTCAGAACCAATCAGAGCTCGGTGTTCTGACGTCACCACAACCCTTGCAAAAGAAGCAGACGAACTTGCGCTCCGAATAGCGACTGACATCTTAAGAACTTTAGGGCGTGGCTTATTATGGTAATGATTCCTGCTTCGTGATTGGTTGTTCGGCGTTCTTATCGGCTGATGCCGTACTCTGGTTGGCTGAGGAGCGATAAGAAGATACACGGGACTCACCACACCCCCCGTCTCTTAATCTTTCACAGAATCTAAGTCTGCCCCTTGGAGGGAGAAGAGCGATCGGTGGGGCAATTTAGCTACCGTAACCAAACCCTACAGTCAAGATGTGCCCTACAAAGAGTTTCATTGTTTTTGTTATTAACATTTGACAGATTCGCTCCTTTCCCCCTCGCCCCTTTAAAAGGACGACTGAACAAACAATTGACCCCAAAAAACTCATTAAAGAGACAATCTTGCCGAAAAAAGCTCGGAAGAAAGTACAAACGCATCATCTGACCAAAAATAGAAGCATGTTTATTTTCTAAGGCAAGAGAACATGGGAACGAAAGAATTATCATAGAGGCGAAGAATCTTGGACGTCCTTGACATATTTCAATTGACGTTACTTGTTATATACAGCCTCAACGACGCATATAATCGCAAAAAGTCAATCCCATCCCAATCGCGTCGCAGCTCCAGCTGCCTTCTGTAAATCGCGGTTTAATTCGCACCAGAGTGAAATTAGGAGTTTGAGCGCCGCTGCGCGCAATCCGCCCTTTAGTAAACTTAACCGGTGCATTTGATTTATAACGTTTGCCCAATTATACGTAGTCGCTTCGGCACTTAACTGTCATCTAAATTTTTGTTAGCTTTGTGATCAAAAGAGGTAACAGTATTAATATGTATGAGTGCGACACTGCAGTCTGTATAATAAAGCGTTTATACGCGAAAAGGCCGTTCCGCTTTACAATGCACAAGTAGGTCGACGTCTATTAAGCGCACAAAACGATTTCAATGACAAACGAAGCACGAACTTGCCGACCAACGAAAACCTGTTTCTTCAGAGCCTAGCTCACGAAACAAAGTCAACACATTTGAGTTGCTCCATCCGAATTTTCGCTGTTATGACAGAAGTGAAAGGGAAGAATTACACCGGAGGTAAAGAGGACATCGTCTATCAGTAAAATAACAAAAGTAGATTTGCAAGGTTTTTGGAAGGGTGCGACGTTATACCTTCAAAGTCGCAAGGACTCCACAACGAAGCACATTATTCTTTATCTATATAAGTATGTAGAAATAAAAATATACTCTCAGAAAAGACATTGATAAATAGCGTAGAAAAAACTCTATGTACATTATTGTTTTTTTTTATTGCGGTGTGGCAACTTGTTTTAAAATTTGTTCTAGTCCTTTTCAGACTGAAAAAAGGTAAACGAATCAGCACATATTGTCTGGAAACCATGACACTCTTCCTGTGTGCTTTCCATGCAGGCTCTAATCGTTACAAATAGTTTTACAATCAAAAGCTTACACGCTCCAACAAGCGTTTAACAGCTACTTAGGAGTATAAGGTTACGTTCGAGGGACGAGACTCATATTGGTGACTGAAATGTGAATTGGGCTGTTTGCTATGACGAGACTGTGCAGTCTGAGGCAATGTTCATAGGCTGTAGAGGTTAGAACGTAATGGATCTGCAGGGTCGACAGCCGCACTACACTTATAGCCGGTAATATATGTCGCTTTAATCTAATCTGGCACACAGCTAGTCTCTCATATCGCAACATCCAAGGTTTCGCCATTATCATGTTATTGCCATACAAGCTTGAGTTTGGGTAGAAAAAAAAAAGTATCATTCTGTTTTAATAATGGTCTTGGTTGCTAGCTCTTTTGAGGCAAAGTCGGCATATTTTTGGTTTCGAGGTTTGACTGCAAAACATTCCATGTTGATAAACCTCGTACCTTCATGGACTCACCGGGACAGAGGAAGCTCGTGAGAAAGATATCACATACAAAGCCAGATAAAAAAAACGTTCCACCAAGCGGAACCACCGAACCTGCAGTCTCAAAAGTGTCTGCCGCGTCCACTTTCCCGAAGAACATAGATCACGCGATGAGGAAACAGTCCTTTCAACAAGGGACCAAGAAAAATAAAAAGTTTCTGAACATGAATTAATCCCGCCGTTATGCTTATTTTTAAATCAGCACATCTAAGCAATCGCATGAACAGAATATCACGTACATAAAGGTAAGGGCTCGTGATACAAAGGTTAATAACGTACTATTATATTTCATATAGATTCTTATCGAATTTTTTTTAACTATACACCAAGTTTCATAACGTCTATAAACAATATTTTTGAGAGCAAGCAGTACGTTGTAATGTTGATAATATGTACCTAATGACCCGGAAACATTGACGACCTAGCCTAATGACCACTGACGCGAGGCCGTTCCCTCTCCTTCTCAGAGAAACGTGACGTTAACATTCCTGCCAAATGCGCCTTTTTTTGTGAAAAATACGGTCATCCGTTCGAGATATCGCTGTATGTGTGATGTTTTGGTGTTTGTAGCATCCCGTTGCACGCTTTTGCTGCGTGTTTTGGGGAATCCAGATTTCAGTTCAACATCCCTTTAAAGGCACCGTCAAAGGCGACGGCCTCGCACTGAAGGGTCAATGTCAGAAATATGCGGTACGCGTGGTCACTCAAGCAGAAAATGTATTACCGAGCTCCTCTCAGACTTCATTTGTCTGGGCGCTGAGAATGATTGATGCGTTTAAGAATTAACAGGTCACCTAATTTTTATAGTGTTGTTCTACGGACATTTTCTGCTGTCACAGCTTCTTTCCCTATTAAGAACAACAAAAAAAAGTTTTGTTCAGATATGCATGCATGGCCTCATGAAGACTTCACACCCCTCCGGCCGACAACACAACACTTTAACATTACGTCAGTCTTAACTCGCCTGTCGCCAAATACTCCTTAAAAAAACATAATAAAAAAAAGATAGGATATTTGTTTTTGATGCGAAAGCTACGAGCGCGAACGTGTCTTCTAAAGTACCTTGGACGAATAAGACGCACAGCGGAAGCGCAGGCGTGGACAAGAGGCAAGAAAGCATAAACAGAATTGTTTAGCTCAGCAGTAGAAAGCAAAACATCTACCCTTAAGAAATTGTTTATTAGACTCTTCAGCACTACTGTCACGCATACTGGCCTCCAATACCAGAGCTAACAAAGATATAAAAAAAAAAAAGAAGAAAGTGCTAGGATAGGTCATCAATGTTTCCGGGTCATTAGGTACAGATTATCAACATTACAACGTACTGCTTGCTATCAAAAATATTGTTTATAGACATTATGAAACTTGGTGTGTAGTTAAAAAAATTCGATAAGATTCTATATAAAATATAATAGAACGTTATTAACTTTTGTATCACGAGCCCTTACCTGTATGTACGTCATCTTCTGTTCACGCGATTGCTTAGATGTGCTGATTTAAGAATACGCATAACGGCGGGATTACTTCATGTTCAAACAGCGCATGAAACCTAAACATTTCGAAATTCGCACAAAAAAAAGATGGGAGCTCCTAGTTTTTTTAAACTGCTTCCAGTCAACGAGCGGCTCCCAAGGCTTCCACCTCGCGTTCGTAGCGTCTACTGTGCCTCAAGGCGCTCACCACAGATTATTTCTACAACGCTCGCAACAAACAAATATCGCGACATTATACACACCAAATTTCAACAGGGAGAGTGACAAAGGGCCTTCCCGTGTATTAAGTTCTTTCCTGCCGACAACTGAAGGTCTTCCAAATCTACAAATTTGCGCTCGTGGCTTCTCCATTAGTTTGACTGACTGGTAAGTGGTCGCATTGCAAGTTACACCACGGCGGTGGACGTGGCGTTTATGGAAAGCAACTCGATTCTTGTTTCGAACGACATGACACTCCTTGGTCTCAGCTGAACCGGACCAGGAGAAGGTTGAGCATGACACCCAGGACTGCGAGGGCACCGCCGAACCGATGCACTCGGGCTGAGTTGTACTGCGACACCTGACTGCTGGGGGTCGGAGCCACCGTGTGGAGGACAGTTCTGGGGTACCAAGTGGTCACCGAGACCACCGACTTCTTGGGCCTCCTGGTGCTGGTGCTGGCCATCATCGAGTCGGGGCTAGGGGAGGCCTCCAGAAGACTGGACGCCGGAAGCGCCCTCGCTCGGGGACACTTGTAGGACAGACTTCGGGTAGGAAAGGGGGAAACCGGTTGTATAATTACCATGCAATTCTGGTGGATTGCACAGGGCACTCTCTAGAGGGCGATTCACATATCTGCGCTTGAGTGTGATCGGCTGCGTTGCGACCACGTGTGGCGCGCTTACGACTAGAGGACTCACAATGGCATACGAGCGCCACCTATGAGGCAGTCCTGAAACACTTCCAACCCGGTATAATTAGACTGAAGGTTTTGCAGTATTTTCGAGATACATTTAAAGCAGTACAGCGATGAGAAATGGTCGGCTGTAACATTATCATTATTATTTCGACCCGACGTTGAATGAGTGACGCGTAAAATATACGCAGTCCGCTGCGTAAAATATACGCAGCTAGCTGATAGATAACGCCAGTGTGTTCAGATTCAGATTCCGATTCAAACTTATTTATTTTTCTTCGTCATAATCGGCCAGAAGCGGTCGGTACGCGGTTGATCACACCGAAACTCAAATGTAAGAACCAGCCTTAAAGGCTGGTTCAGACATCTGCAATTCGAGAACGACCGACTACATTACGGTCACTTACGAATGCTTAAGGGCGATTCACACACTTGCGTCAAGTCCGACAAAGTGCGCCTGCAACGGCTTGCGACGTGCAGGTTTCTATGCCAAGAGCTGCGTCGGCTAAAACAAAACCGGTTTTTACCCCGTTTTGTTGGAGCCGATGCAGCTGTTGCGATGGCAACCCGCAAGACGCAAGCCGTTGCAGTCGCACTCGGTTGAACTCATGCGAGAGTGTCAACCAACCATTACGACTAGATGCTACCGCGTGCTACTATGACAGCGCTCGTCGTAAGCGGACGTGAGCGGTCTTACGCAGTCGGTATTGTACTTAAAACGTAGATATATCTGAACGGATTTTAAGAAGCCCCTGCAAGTCTGCTGCCCCAGCGATTCACTCGTAATATTAATAGTTTCTTTTTCCTTAATAGTTCAATTAATTGGAAGGGCGATCGGTATCATTTTTGTCCGTGGGGAATGCAAGTAAAATTATATTATTTTATTTGGTCTTTTAACGATGATGCAGTTTTAATGGTAGGAGGACTGTATGCCTTCGTGCCATTGAGAGAGGAAGTATCGTTCCGATGAGCTTTCTGATTGGCTGAACTGATTAAACGAAGATAGATGATTGGCGTTTCGAGTGCATTATGTCGCAGCATGCACTCATAGACTTCTCAGAATGTGCGAGTTCACGTGTTTTTGTTGCATTGCTAAGGATGTCAAAAAAAAAAATGCAAATGCAAAAGTATTATGCTCCCATGACGGGAGAGAGACGCGCACGAATGAAGATAAACATTTAAAAAAAGTGACAATACTTTTATTTGTACCAGGAAGAGGGGTGTTTCTAATGGCTAACTAAACTGCTTTACGGAGGGTGTGTTTTATCAAGAAAAGTGGAATGGGGGGACATTTTGAAAGTGCACTATGTTGGACGAGGAAGGCGAAATGTGGAGAATTATCTTAAACGAAAACACAAATATGCAACCTACGTAATGCGCAATTTACAAAGCTGGTATATACACTTTTGGTCACTTACATACGCGTTAGTTGAGCAACCCCACCAATCAGAGAAATTACTAATAAATCTTGAAATTGAAGAGCAAAACTCGCACCCGTAACATTCCAACCATAGGGCGGTGGAAATCAAGAGCGTACTAATAAGTGTTTAGTGGCATTTATGGGGTGAAGCGAACGTCTTATTTTGCTTCAATTCGAGATACAGCAAGATAACTTGTACTTACGGTATTCTTCATGGCAGCACAGAATTAAAAATGAAAAAAAAAGATGAGGCATTAGTGACCCTTCAAATCACAATCTATTGCAAAGGTGGCAGCATTGAAAAAATAACGGTAGCACGAAATTCCTGAACCATACGCCTGCATTACTGACCCTTCTTGAAATCGGAGGATATTTGTTTATTTATTTATTTAGTTATTCAAATTACCCCTAAAGGTCTGTTGTGGGAGGGTATCACATAAGGGGAAAAGGGGAGGGGTGCAAGAAAATATATCATAGTACACACAGAAAAAACAAAAAGCATATAAAGGCAATATAAAAAGAAGGAATAAAAAATAATTCTAAGTATTAGTATAACTGCGCAAGAGTTCTTGAAAGCTAGACATATCTTGTTCAGCTGCAATGTCAGCCGGTAGATTGTTCCAGTCGATTATGGCTCGATATGTTCGATATGTTAAAAAGGAGGGGCGATATACACTTTCTTTCTTAACACTTTCCTTCTTAACATATAACATATAGCATGTTAAAATATAACGTTATATACGTAATATGTTGTTCATGGTTATTTCCGTCTTTGTATGTTCATTGGAGTCTAAGGTTCGGCATTAATATGGTACACCATCCTGCCTCTGATTTTGCATTTTCGTTAATTACAAAAGTATGACATTCTCGTGGGTGTTAGTTTGGAAGTGCAAATGTATTCATAAACCCTACAGGTGTCTCTATTTTTTTGTTTATCGCGGCTGACATTAATTTCTCATTTCTTCATGAAAGTGCTCTAAGTGAAGAATAATCAACACATTATGTGTGCCCCGGCGAGTATATATATACTCACGAGTAGTAGGACTTCCCGCAGCGGTCGATGAGGAAGGCCATCGAGTGGTCCATGATGGTTCTGGCTCTGTTGCCGCATAACCGAAGCAGGGGCTCGCTCACGCAGCTCTTGAACTGACTGTACGAGCTGCGAAAGAAATTCACAGTCACAGAATTACGCGGCGTGAGGAGAAATATTTTGGAAAGTCATAGCACAGCGAAGGGTTCACTATAGCTAGGGCTCCGTGTTTTCGGATAAATCCGAAAAACTCCGAAAAACACTCGCCGGTAAAATTTTTGGCAATTCAGATTTATCCGATAAACTCTGAATTGTTATGTGCCCATGCGCCCCCCCCCCCCCCCCCCACACACACACACCCACACACACGCACAGCAAAAAAAAAAGTTTTTTTTTCTCTTTTTTTTTTTTACATTTTGAGCAGCGCAGGATCAATGGTCCTGGGAAAATGACACTATAATTATCGTTCAAGCCTCGGACCGTTGTCAAAAGGTCCTACGGCTTGTCTCGTCAAGGTTGGTTCAGGCAAACAGGTCATCGTAACATTCGTGTCACGACAAAAGCCACTCTTTTGGTTTCCAGTTTGGGCCATGGGATTTGGGATTTAGAGAAAGGAGAGGGTATGTTTCTGGGGGTAACAGTGAAAGCTATGGACCATAGAGGTTGTATAAAATAGGGAAGAGGGGCAGTTGAAACTTCCCTATTACATCCACCTCGCGCGGCAACGGGATAGATTGATAGGGTGACTACGAGCTTCCTTGCGGCTGCCTGCGGCAGTTTATATATTTTAAGGTATCGACAATTATTGAAGCCACACGTGTGTGCGACTTTTGTCGTGGGACAAATTAGTATTTCCAATGACACCAACGCCAAATTCAACTGAAAAAATATTAATTGATACAAGCGCGTTTTATTTTTTTATCTGGCACACGTTTGCATCCGGTTATTATTTATTATTTTTAATATGAAACACTCCGAAATTAATCTCCGAATTTCGGAGAATTAAGGATTTATGAAAAATAAACTCCGATAAACACCGAATTTTCGCTAAAAAATAAACTCCGAAAAGCACCCTCCGAATTTCAAGAAAAATAAACTTCGAAAACACGGAGCCCTAACCATACTATATCATAGTGGTTTGTCGCAGAGCGTAATTCTTGCGAGAACAAAGCGGGGGTTTTCAGAGCTTTCCCTTTTCTGAAAACGAAGTCAACTGTCTACGTAAATTTACAGTAATCTCTGATGCACCTATAGATAGAGTACATTAATTGCGCATACCTGAGAAACGATTGTTTTAAAATTAGTCCGTCCATCACTAACGCAGATAGTTCTTTAACTACTGTTGCGGTAGTCTAGCAAAGCTATAGAACGGCTTTTTATTTTAATAGGAATGTTGGCGTCTAGGTGCAAATATCTGAAATTAAAGCAATAATACCTCGCGGATGTCGTTTACGTTTATTAAAGTAAGGTTACTGTTTGTGTTTCTAACATGAATGTCCCATTTTTGTGTTATGCCAAACACGAACACGCAATATTCAAGTCATTCAGGAAAGCGCTCGAACTGCGTTCACTTCCACTGCAACTCCAGTAATGGCTTGTTTTTGCTGGCGACCGGGTACTGTACAGCGTCTTTTACGCCACTTGTGACTAACTAATGACAAGCGAAAACTAGTGCAGGCTCACGTCTTCTCATCTTGTGTTTGGTTGGAGACATATATGTCATATTTGACACAGACGATGCGGTTCTTCTTTACATCAGTTCCATATGCAGGGTGTCACAAAAGAAAATTTACGCGGTCTTTTTTACCGCAAAAATAAACTAGGCATCGCCGAACGCTCATTCTCCGCCCAAAGGTAGAGCTAGAAGTCACAACCAGATGCCAAAGTTTCAGCCCCATCCGATAAGTTAATCAAAAGTTATTAGTGATTTTCTGAAAATCTCGATGGGAAAATGGAGCCCATTTTCGCCCGTTTTCGGTTTCTGGTGCCATAGAGCCCCATGTGTTTGAAAACCCCGTTGGCCGCCATCTTCCCATTGAAATTCTCAGAAAATCACTTATAACTTTTGATTAAGTTATCGGATCGGGCTGAAACGTTGGCATCTGGTTGTGACCTATAGCACTACCTTTGGGCGGAGAATGAGCGTTCGGCGATGTCTAGTTATTTTTGTGGTAAAAAAGACCGTGTAAATTTTCTTTTGTGACACCCTGTACATGCACGAGCGGTTGCAGTTGGAGTCAAGCACGCAACACAGATATCTAAACCGGCCATCAGAGTCAGTACCTTTTTAAGGTTCGAAAGCTTTCAATTAAAACGTTAAGTGATAACCATTAAATTTGAAAGATAAAAACATAACGTCCTTAGGGGTACTTTTTGAACTTCTAAACTCCACCACAGCTTAAAATGACGCTGTAACAAAAACAATTCGTAAACGTTTCTATTGTGAGCATTTCTTAGCGGACGTTATTACGGAAGCCCAAAAAGAAGGAGAGACCTCATTTTGTCGTTAATCATTTCATTAAAAATAAGAAGTCGCACCAGTGTGTGCGAACGAAGCCATGCAGTGACAACGGCAGCCAAACTTGTTGAAAATGTTTACCAGCAGATGTGGTCGTGTCTGGAGGTCGGGTTGGTGACCTGATCCACCATGGCCGTGTAGAATGTGCCGCAGTTGTCCACGGATACCTTACGGAAGCAGGAAGCGTTTTGCAGGTACTCTGCAAAAATGCGAAGAGAACATGCACCTCTTAAACCAGCCTTTTGATTGCACAGGGAAAGCATGATTACCCGAAGAATAGAAAACGCGATTAAATATGAGCACAAAAGATAAGCACAAGACCGCACCGCAGGTCAAAATACGTCGAAAAATGTTATGAGCCACTCCTCAGTCAATCAGAGCGCGGCATTAGTGCATAAGAAAGACGAAAACCCGATCACGAGGCGAGAAGAGGCAGTGCAAAAAGTCCCTCTTTACCTTAAAGTAGGATTACCGCAAGGCATTTCTGTGGCACCACAATTCAACGGTTTTGATGGATTATCGCTCCACATATCTTACTATGGCATGCTACCGTAACATCTGTTCCGTGTCATATTGATTGTGTCGTGCAGCGTCCTATCGCTGTGCGCAAAATAAGGCTGGACAATTCCTTCAATGCCATGATGTGCCACGTCTATATATCATACTAACCAGTTTCCACGTGGTCATACAGTACCATTTATTACTTAGCTATAAGATTGGGAAGCCCTGAAATAAACGTCGACATATTGATTGAAAATGAAATGCATAGCGCCAACGCGGCTAACAAAGAGCCGCTAGCGGCATGTGCGGCGGTGAAAACTTGGTGGTACTCAAAGTGGCTGTACATGCCACAGCATCCCAAACCAGGGCATATCATATCCCGCTCTGATTCCGTGCCTATTGTGCCACACGATTTCACACCATAGCATACCATATATTATATCATTCCGAGGTTTGTGGGTCAGAATGTTATTATATATCCTCATCATAACATGGATGATGTTATTGTCATATTTTGTACCAAAGTCTGGTGTGCACACGCGTCGGATTGTGACTTGTAACACTTGGACTGATTTTTTTGGAGAGTGGACTACACTCGTTTTTAGCTTAACATGTAAAAAAAAAGTTCTTACAAAAAGTGGTTATAAAAGAAAACACACAAAAAAATCTGTGTTATTTGCGTAACCGTTTCATTAAAAAAAAAAAAAGAAGAAACGATCCGAATTGAGAGGAGCTTGCAAGTTGAACGACCCGCTCCGATGCATACACAGCATGGCGAGGGAAACTGAAACGAGAGAACTTGATGAAGTTCACAGCGCCGTTCAGAGATGGCGGCACGAGTCGTGACAGCGTTCAGCCGCACCCAATGTTGGCTACACTTCACGGCGCGTGGCGTCAGGTCTAGTAATATTTGTTTGCGATCTTTTCTATTCGAATATTACAAACCAAAACAAAAACTATTTTGCTTTTCAAAAATTCGTGCTATTTACGTGGTTCGTGACCCTCGCTTGCCATTTTTCAAAGCACGGCAAAGAAATTGTGCCAACTGTAGGTGCTGAAGATAGACGCATCATCTCATCTTAGCGAATTCATTCATCAAATGACAGTTACCCGCGAGCCACACGCTACGCCTACAATTTAAGTGTCATTCAATGTGTACTGTGTAAAAACGTTGATAAATAGCAACTAAGGTTTCTTTTTTTTTTTTATGAGGAACCATGATATCGGAAAAACCTACTTGACCTTATAAAGGTATAAGGTGATTGCATGAGCATATTTCACAAACGTTCCAAACAAACTAAGGAATGCCATTTTTTTCAATGAAATAAATCAGATTTACTTTATTTAAAATCTGATTGTTTTATTTATATCAAATTTATTTTATTTAAATCACTGTCACTAGAAAATTGTCACTTTTTATCACTGCATGCACTTTTAAACATGGTGGAATGATTGATCAATCCGTCCGATCACTGATAACAATACGGAAGAAGAAATTACCGTAAATTTAGAGTACAGTCAAATGAACAACTTCCGATTGTTGTAACTCCCACAAACTAAAACAAAAACAGCTAGTTTCTTTTCTTTTCTTTTTTAGTTATTTACAAAGTTTTATTTGTCTTTTCTTTTGTATTCTCATTTGCTTGCAACAAGACATCTTCTAGTTTTTGTTCGTTTCTTTCATGTTTTGATTTGCTTGAAATATGCTGTTACATAACTGACGAACAAACTGGAAGGTAGAAAGAAAGCCCAATGCTCTTATTCGCTCAGAAGGGAACTAACTTTTGCTTATGCTCAGCCTGATATAAATCTTCCTTGCTTGATGATTCTTTAATTTCAGTACAAAACAAATGCACATATAAATAAACAAATGATAGACAATGAGTCAATTAAAGCTAAAAATCATTTTCGGGGTTTCTTTTGCAAGAAAGGTTTGATGTACATAAACGTAGTAAAACTGGTCTGGTTGAAATAACGATGTAAATCCTAATTTCAGTCATGATCTAAATCATCTTGATTTTTATTCTCCACCCTGGTTCAGAGCCATTTATCAGCAATCTGGGAAACGTATGTGCTCCTAAAGTATTTACTGTCGATCTCACACACTATTCCCAAACGGGATTTTTTTTCGTTTTCTGTTTGTGGCCAATTTTTAACACGTCAACGATTATTGACCAACAACAGACATGCTCGTCAATATAAATCGTGCGGGAATCATGTTAAAAAACAGAAATCACCAAGTCGCACAGAAGTTTATCAGGAACATTGAACGAGTCAATTCCATCGATTCTTCATCGGTGGTTTTTCTTCTCGTAGAGCAAATAACATATACAAGAATGTATAGTTCATATAGATGTTTACCTAAGAGCTGAAATTAGTCTACCTCAATCGGACTCCTGCTTACGGATCGGTTAATGGTATGGCAAATACTGAACTCTCAGAATTAGTAAGCTAATAACATGGCCTCTTAGAAAATTGTGGTAACGTCCGGAATTCCTAAATGATATTGCCTTCGATCTTGCTTCTTTTAAATTCATATTATTATTCACCACATCACGTCTTTTTCTCTATTTGTTCATTTACTGGACCTTTTTACAGAGTACCGCAAAATATCTCTGACCCCTCGTACCTTTACCATGGCATTCGATTCTGTATCAAGTTAGTGCCAAATCTGCCATTTATCATTAAATGTTCAGAACTGTAAAGTTTAGCCCGTTTGTCGTCAAGTTGAAAAACATGTTTTTTTTTTGTTTTGTTTTTAAGTGTTTTTTTTTAACGTATGGTTAGAACATGTATGGTGATTGACTGATTAAAAAAATGCGGGGCGCGAAGTATTATGGTCTCGTTTCTTGTTCTGTGATCCGTTCTGAGTAGTTCTTACAACCTAATGCCTCGTCCTCGTGGGCTGCTGAGCGATAAGAAGATACTAACGACTTGCCACGCCTTGCGTATCTGAAGCTATCAGTAACCGTAGGTAGTTAAGAATACCTGGGTCTTAAAAAGCCACCTTACACACTTAATTATTGTTCATTTATTTGATATCCACATCGCCCAGTGGGCATTACAGTAAGGGTGATGGAAATAAAAACAAAACATATCGCAGAACAAAAATAACAACAATTAAAAATCATACAGGAGGAACATGCCAATATATACAGCAATAATATGAGAACACGATCAACAGCAAGCACAGGTCGAACAAAGTAAACCGTCAAAACGAACCGCAATAATACGATTTAACCAAAAAAGGATTGAACGTTATGAAGCTCTGCGAGTGAGTCGGGCAGCACGTTCCAGCATTAATTGTCTGGGGGGAAATGGATACAGTACGTGTGAAAAATATTCGGATTTTTTTTTTATTGCTAGCCTGAAGAGAGGCATGATAGGGTGCGAATAGGTATCTTGATTTATCTTTCCCGATGCTATACCGTAATATAGATTATGCGTAGACTTGAGACGGAGGCACTTTCGCCTTAGTTGTACAGGTTTCCATCCGAGCTGGAGCTTTAATTGAGAGACACTATCGTGACAGTTATAGTTATTTAGCACATATCTCGCAGCCTGATTCTGAATTCGTTTGATTCCGTTTATATATATATATTTGTGTACGCGGGTCTCAAATAATGCAGGCATAGTCCAGAATTGGGAGGACGTACTAAAAGTAGAGGTTTTTTTTCGAGTGAGCTGAAACGTTTCTGAAATTGTGACGCAAAAGATGCAGCATGTCGCTGGCCTTAGAACGTAATTGCTTCACGTGATTATTCCGTCTTAAATCATCGGTTAAGAGAACCCCGAGATATATTGCCTCAGTACTAAGTTCCAAAGGGTGATTGTTTAGTTTAAAAACTGCAGAGTAAATTTTATGTTTTCTAAAGAATCGAACATGGACACATTTGGATGCATTAAGATACATTTTCTATTTATCTCACTACTCTGTTATCTTATTTGAATCATTCTGTAGGACCTGAACGTCATCGTCTTCGGAGACTTATTTGTATAAAACGCAGTCGTCAGGATACAACCTGATACTAGATGTAACTCCATGCGGGATATTATTAATAAAGATTAGAAAAAGGAGAGGGCCTAAAACAGAGCCTTGTAAAACACCTGAAGTTATAGTTCTAGATATGATGAATGAACTCCATTTATTATGACACACTGTTTCCTATTGTCGAGATAATTGGCTATCAACTGCAAAATATTCGCATCGATGTTTACACTAAGTAGTTTATGCAGTAAAAGGAAGTGATTCACTACGTCAAAAGTTTTAATGAAATCGAGAAAAATACAATCAGCTTCAAAACGTTTATGAAGTGCACAGGCAGGGTCGTGATAAAACTCCAGCAGTTGCGTGTTGCATGATAGCCCTGCGTGGAAACCGCGTTAAACTGAGGTAAAAAATGATTTTTTTTTAATTTAAATGACATGAGGTGTAAAATAAGCTATGTGTTCCAATATTTTACAGCATTCACTCTTTAGGAAAATAAACCTGTAGTTCTCGACACTATTTTTTTTACCGTTCTTATGCATTGGATCTAGATTTCCCAACTTTCAATCATCAGGCAGGCGTCCACTTTCTAGCAACTTCGTAAATATTAATGCCGCTCGTAGATCCGAGCAAACAACGCTCGGTCACAGAATTCTAGAAGACTCGCGTTTATTCTTACTCGAGGCGTAACTTGAGATAGTCACGCACAC